CACTGCAGGGAATCGAACCCCGGATTTTATCATTGTAAGTCAGTAAACCATGAGACCCTATCCCGTGAGGTTGTTGTTTTCGTAGGCCATACAATGGGCTATCTGTACTTTGTCCACTGCAGGGAATCGGACCCCGGATTTTATCATTGTAAGTCAGTAAACCAGGGGACACTATCCCGTGAGGTTGTTGTTTTCGTAAGCCATACAATGGGCTATCTGTACTTTGTCCACTGCAGGGAATCGGACCCCGGATTTTATCATTGTAAGTCAGTAAACCAGTATCCCGTGAGAGATTTAATTTAGACTAAGCTAAACCGTTTATCTACCAATGATCACTCCACCTGGGTTGAATTATTTCGCTATGGAAAATAAAATCTATTTAAGAACTTTAGAATAAATCTTATTGCCATGATTAACACGTACGGCTGTATCCATACGATACCGTTATAACGAAACTGAATCAACTTAAGACTGTGCCACTACGTGCCATGTGGTGTTTAGTACGCTAGATTCGCATTCTGCAGGTTACAGGGTCGAAATATGCTCACCTTTTCAGCGTTATAATGTGACGGTCAATCCAACTATTCGTTGGTAAAATAGTAGCTCAAGAGTTGGCGGTTGGTGGTTTTTGACTAGCTGCCTTCCCTCTGGTCTATCACTTTAAAATTTGGGACTGCTGACGCAGATAACCCTCGAGTAGTTTTGCGCTTATTTCCACAAACGTGTCAATTATAATCCATAAACGTGTCAATTATAACCCACAAACGTGTCAATTATAATCCACAAACGTGTCAATTATAACCCACAAACGTGTCAATTATAAATGGAAATGTACTCTATCCTACCTGACTTTTCTTCAATTCCTCTTTAATTGTTATGGCATTTTCACACAGATTTGCGAGGTTTGTTTGAGAGGAATAATTATTTTTTTCACTTGGACGAAAAAGAACAGATCCTTTGTGTATTTTATGCCAAAATGTAATCTACTTGGGTGAGATTACATACACCATACATTCATTCCTTTTTTCTTACGTGTTCCTATTAAATCTCTTGCCCAAGCATAGCTTAGTAGTTACAATTCTGGATTGTAAGGCTGAGATGCGGTAGTTCGCGTCCTCGCTACACATTTTGAGGTCCTGGGTCCATTTTAAGAGTGACGGCAAAATCCCACAATACAGTTAGAGTAGCCTAAGAGTTGGCGATGGGTGTTGTTGACTTGTTGCCTTTCCTCTGTCAGTTCTAAATTAGGGATGGTCGTGGATTCATTTTAAGAGCGACAGTAAAATCCCACAATACAGTTAGAGTAGCCTAAGAGTTGGCGGTGCGTGTTATTGACTTGCTGCCTTTCCTCTGTCTGTTCAAAATTAGGGATGGTAATTGTTTGTAATTTTGTGAGTATTTATTAAACAAGCAAACTTTTTATACCCGATAGTTTTAAACCATTTATATTACTGATAAATCTTTTTCTTCTGAAGATTGTGCCCCACCCCCCGTGGTGGGCAGAGCACAGATAGCCCACTGTGTAGCTTTGTGCTTAATTACAAATAAACTGAAGATTGTGAAATGTACTAAGCCATCAATAAACATACCAGAAATGCGAACATCAGATGAACGACGAAACCTTAAACACTATTTTTAAGGCCGATACCTTGTTTCTGTCAGGAAAGATAAAACAATGATGTTTTAAATTTATTTAACATTCACTTTAAAATTAACTACAATTTAGTTTAAAGATGTTTTATTAAAAAGAGCGTGATAACAACCATATACTGTTAAAATTTCTTTCTCGTGAGTTTCCAACTTCAATCATTTTGTGATCATTTTTTTTAAAATTGAATTTAAGACTATTACACCAAACTAGACATTATTCAACAAGCAGAAACTTCAATTCCGAATTCTTAGTGCTCACTAGTATATTCTGGGCAATACGTCATCAGGAAATGAATGTACTCCATTAAACTGGATTACAGAATAGAAGAAAACGAAGAGAATTATACGTTTCACAAATATTTCATCTATTACGACTATTCTTTCGCCAGTAAAGGCTTCATTAGTTACTTTACTGGCGAAACCATAGTCGTAATAAATGAACCATTTGTGAAACTTACAGTTGTCTTTGTTTTTCTCAATTTTGTAAACCAGTTTAATGGAGTACATTCATTTCCTGATAATGACTTGCCCAGTATATACTGATGAAATATTTGTGAAACGTACAGTTGTCTTTGTTTTCCTGAACTCTGTAATTATGGAGTTTCACCAAGAATCGACAGTGTCAAGTATTAATAAACTAGATGTACTTGCGCAGGGTCCCCGAAAATGTTACGTTTCAAGAGTAAATAAAACCAAAATTAAGAGTAACAAATATTTCTATTTCTTGCTTTGGAAGTTCATATGTCATGCTATGTTGTAGCCTAACAGAGTGCATAATTTTTCTCGTGATTCATGGCATGCGACAATACAAACTGCAACGTTAAGCGTCTCTTATTTGACGCCATTTTAGTGTCTACTGACTGACTGACAGACAACACACTACTGTACAGTGGTGCGAGTAGTTAAAACAGGAGAAATAAACAGTTTTAATTCGATTTTCTAAAAGGATGGCATAAATTATCTTTATATAAATATATTATTTCCAAATGTTAAAGTTCGTATATCAGAATTATATTGTACCAGATTCTCGGCAGTTTCAGAAAAAAAATGAATTTATTTATTATCTTATATTAGTCAATGAATTATGCTTTATTGCACGTAAAATGTCTCGTAAAAATAAAATATTTATTTCGTACGATAGCCAAGCTCGTCCGTAATTATAGTTAGTTCGATCCAATTTCCTTGACATTCTCTGATTTCTGTTTGAATTTATAAGACAAAATGTATAGAGTGCTCATTAAAAAAAAAACCTCTGTGCTGTAATTACGGCCCCCCAGTAGCACAGCGGTATGTCTGCGGACTTACAACGCTAGAATCCGGGTTTCGATACCCGTGGTGGGCAGAGCACAGATAGCCCATTGTGTAGCTTTGTGTTAACTTCAACAAACAGCTGTAATTACGTTAAAAGAGTGACAATTTTAGAGTTATGATCAACTAATTTTTCGCAAAATAAAATCAAAAAGTACAAGAGATTGTTGTCTAATTGCATGTTTCGAGCATTTTTTAAAAGAGGATCTGAAATAACAGTTTGCTTTAGAATGGGAAAATGGGACTTATAAATATTTCAATTAGTTTATCTTGAACTTAAGACCTGGGATAATTATAAACGTTTTACAGTTTTTATGCCTTATCTCTTACATAAAAGCTCAAAACAGAATTTTTTTTATTAAGTAAAATAGTATGTTACACAAATCAAAACATATATATATATAGAAATCGTTATTTTCATTGTGTTTGTTTGTAGTTAAACAGAAAGCTAAACAAATGGCTATCTGT